TTTTGCAAATTTATGAGATTCAAAAGGATAAAGAGCGAAAAAAAAGGGCTAAGCATGCTACGGACACTCAAAAGCAATTCATAGCACGGAAGTGGAAAAAAAGAAAGCCACGCCCGACGCTCCCTTTCTTAATCTGTAAATAACGCTTCAAAATATATATATATATTATATAATAATATAGTTAAATTAAAAATATATTTAATTTAATTTATAAAATAAATTATATTAATATATATTAATTATATATCCTTATATTACAATAATATTAAATATAATATAATTAATTTTAATAAATAAACAAAAATTCAAAAAATATAAAAAATATATATACCAAAATTATAAATAATACATTTAGTAATATCTATCGATCCCAATAATATTCTGCTAGAATTTAGGTTCTAAAGAATTTGTTTGTTGGCGATAAAAAACGGCGTTGTAATGGATGTAAGGCAGGACCATAAACGTGAAATAGTAAATTGGAAGTAAGCAAGTGAAATCGAGGATACGGATCTCTGGAATTCAGATTACGCAAGGGAAAGCCTGGGAGTGGCATTTGGCCGTGTGCGGACACCGTTCGGTGCGATTTTTGACGCAGAATCACCAAGCTCCTCCTCCCCAGCTCGTGTTCGCTGGCTCCTGCTTGTCAGATCCGGCTCACCATCTCCTTCCTCTTCAGTGTGTGCTTTCCATTTTCCCTGCTTCACATCGCAGTACCGGAAATTGGTATGCCAAAGGAAGTGGGGAATGGAGCGCCAGGCTGCATGTGTGAGGCCTCCCTGATGATGAGCAATGAACACTACATATTGTGGCAAATGTTCCAAAGTCAATGTCCTAGGTTTTATCAGGAATCCACGTTCGCACCAGAGTTGCTCTGGAGAGTTGCTCGGCGATTAGACCGCGTTTGTCAACCACCATGTTCGCACCTTCGCGATTTCAGCTTTGCGCGTGGACCCGTTATTTGGGAGTATGGTTTAAAGAACGTATAATTATATGCAAAACATTAGATGCTATATTTAAAATCTACATCATATGTGTTTGTTCATGAACATCGAAATCCTTGAAATGCTTATTTATTCAATATTTTTTGTTAAGCAATTATAGTTTGAAGGAATGAAAACTTGGTTTAGATCTAGAGACCCGTTTGCGAAGTTGACGTTTCCGGGAGTGGAGGTGGCGCTGTAGACGGAGGTTCAGGTTCTGTGACATTCGGCGGTACATCTGGAGGAGGAACTGGTGGCAAGGGCACCTTGCAGCATGAACAAGGAATCGTGAAGCAACAAATAACAGCATATTCCAAAAATGCGATATGAAGAGCTTCTCAACAAGGATTACAGTCGCTCTCGGAACATTGGCTCTCTGAAAAGTCTTTGACTCGCAGGCTCCCGGAAGCTACACTTTCTCAAGAATGACATGAATAGCTCGAATGATTTTCGCTTTTGGTTCACGTTCGCATGGCTAGTGGCTACTAACATCACGCCTGAGGCTCCTCCATGGTTGTTGCTCCCAGGAGTGGCTGTTGGCCTCAGCCCCAAGGCGCCAAGGCTGCGCCCAAGGAGACATCAAGAAGATTCTGCCACAAACGTCAAACACTACCACAAGGAGGGGCCGCATCTCTCGATTCTCTTTTGAGACACATACAATCTTGCTCCGTGATGTCTCCTCCAGCATTCAGATGCAAGGTGTCCACCTGAATACAGAACGCTTGGCAATCTGTTGAACAAACTCAACTGTGCATCCAATGCGCCTGCGCAAAGAGGATGATTGGAATATTGGATCTCCAACCTCAACTCGCTAGATGATAAGGCAAAGTCATCTGGCTTTGGCCGAGGCTGATGCGGAATAGACTCAGGCCTTGCTGGAATATCGGCCAGGCAATAGATACAAAACAAGTTGAATATCTTTGGGCGAAAGCAAAAAAGAATTGAAGCCCCGCCAAGGTGCATGTCACCAAAAGCCAAACAAAGTAGCAGGTGTAACCTGGGTGGATCCAAAATACAACCCTTTTTTTACAAAAGTAAAGCTGAATCTAGTTGATTTGTCGGTGTTTGGGTCATCTGACTGCCCGTTCCGTTGGTGATGGCTGCGTTTGCATCCAACCAACTGGTGCCTCATGCGACAATCCGATGGCGACAATCCGATGTGGCCTTCCAACGAAAGTTCCAGTAAGCCTTCCTGAGTGTCCCACCTTCACCAAATAGGTTTGAGACTACGAATCCCACACCTCAGCAAGAAGTTGTCCAAGGTTCCAAATCACCCACACAGCTTTTTGCTAAGCCAAGCCAGCTAAGCATCCCTGCTCCCAGCTAAAAGCAGCCCAGTAAGCAGAGATCCCACAAACTGCCAAGTCTACTTTGTCCCAACAAAAAAAAACACGTCACTTGAAGGCAACCAGCCGAGATCTCCAAGAAAACAAAGACATGAAGCTCAAGCCGGCCGAATGGAAGGAGAGCACAAGGGCATCTTTCCCAGTCCTTGACATTGGCAAATGATGTGATTTTTTGGTTGTACTTTTGGTAAAATCTGATGGTCAACAAAAGAAAAAAGCTCCAAGAAGGCTCGGGGCCCAGGCAGGCCGAAGATTCCGAGCAAGGCCGCCAGCACTGCGATGGTCCACCTGGACTCCCCTATGTCCAGACAATGGCGACGAGCGAAGCTGGTGTCTGAGATGGACACTGCCAGTGACTCGAGTCCAGCCAAACCTAAGTGCTGTGAAGCAATGCAAAAGAGTCCAATCAAACACAAGGTCCTTTTGATTCTTTTTCTATATGTTTGTACTTCATCGAAACAGGTACAAAGCCATAGCCAATCCTTTGGGGCACAAATTGAACGAAGGGAACCTCTATGTGTTCAAACAAAAACAGTGGGGCTTTCATAACGCGGAGTTCCTTCGGATCTTCTTGAGTCCGCGGATCTTCTCTGAGGTCCGGACTGCAAGTGTTCCACTTCCTTGTTTTTCAAGGGCCTTTTTGAGGTCCTACACAACCCATGATGAGCCATGCAAAGCTGGAAGAGGCTGGAAGAGGCTGCTGCAGACGTGACTTCCTTGGAGGCTTTTCACCACCCGCCTTGACTTCATCTTTCTCGCCAGCAAGCTCCTGGAGCAAGCTCTCCATCCTCGACCTGCGCCAACATGAGGCCAGCGCAAGCATCCGACAACGCTGGCGCCATGTTCGTGGACTGGTCTGTGTCTACCCCGAACGGTGCAAATTGCAACGAGGGAAGCAGGGACGTCGCGACTCACTCGCCACTCGGGACGCACGTGCCCCACTAGCACCTGTTCGGGCTAGCAGCTAAGACACCTCAAGGGAGGCTTCAGTCCGCAGCCTCTTGTCACAGTCCTACCAGGTTCTACCAGGCGCCACCGAGCGCTGGTTTTCATGGCAGAACACCGCACCACTGGTGACTGGTGGATGGAGCCCAACGTTCTCAAAAGGACTAGGTCTGCTTCACTCTGAGGTCGCTCCGATCGGGGTGCCAAAGGGTCGTCAATACACTGTATAATTGCTATCTAATCATCGGAAGTGGATGGCACTGTTCGGTACTCAGAAAATGGCCATCCGAAGACCAGGATGAGTTCAGGGAGTGGTTCTGCCAAAAAACTGAGGAGCAACTCGGAGCAACCCTTCATTCATCACGGAGTTCTGGCCACCAGTTCTTGGCGAACCCTTAAGACCCCCCCACACACAAATGGTGGTGCGAAGCTGGCGCAAGACGTCTCCAATCAGCGAAGACACATTCTTACAGAGTGGTTGAAATAGCCTAGCGGCCACCAAGAACAATGGGAAGATAAGCGGCCAAAAGCCCCTCAGCCTGGTCTCTGCCAGCTTCTCCTCACTTTCCCTTCTCAGCCGCATCTGTTCCGTCCTTTACACACATGGAACCCAAATCAAAACCACCAGGGTTCACGAGTTCCGGGAATCAGGCACATTTCTGATGGCTTCCGTCGCGGCAGCCTGGCAACATCAGCTTCCGTTCTCGGCAGCTTCGCGAGAGGCACTCATGAAGATATCCCACCTCTTGGACGAGTCGGCTACGTTTTTCATCTTTCAGTTCATCTTGCAGGTCGTGCACCTGCAATTCGATCGATCCCCTAATTCCGCGAAAAAGAAGTCTTCGTGAAAGTCTTCACGATTAGGAAAGCATCAAGTGTCAGAAGTGTGCCTTTTTGGAATCATCTTCAGGGCCGGACCTCACAAGGCAAGTGGTCTAACCTCCAAGAAGAAAACACAAGAACACCCCCAAGCACACCACGTGGCATCGTCCTTTTGCTCCTTTTTCAAGGCCTGCTGGTCAACAAGCATGAACAAACCGTCCGTCCTACCGCGTCTTCACCCAAATGCCTCAAACCTCCCCAACTGGATTTGCCTCAAACCAAAACCGCGGTTGGCGCGGCAACGGCAAAGAATGCCCCCAACCTTCAACTCTGCACACGTCTCAGGAAGGTTGATGGCTACCAAGGTGGCCGCCACCTCGCACCAATGAAGGCTGTGAAGCCTTCCTTCCAGCATCAAATCAGCCCAAATCCCAATTTTTCAGCTGTGACTCGAATCAAAGCGCACCTTCCAACCTCTCATTGTTAGTCCTGTGCCCCAAAAAACAAACCACGTCGGCATCGCAACGGCACAGACAGCAGCTTTCAACACCTCTCCTTCGTGCACACGGAATCGGACGCTCAGCAAGGGGGAGACGTGACGACGTGTCAAGTTGTTCGTTGGCAAGAATGGTGGGGTCGGTGAATCTTTTTCAGCCTTCTGAAGCCCTAGCTGTGTCCCTAGCTGTGAAACAGAGCCTTGCTGAGCCAGCTGCGAAGAAGCAGACCGCCCAACGGGTGCAGACCAAGTCGTGTGACCCAAACAGGGCATCGGATCGACAACACGGGGGAAGCCCCAGCAGTTCCAAAGGGGTGATGTTCCCAGCATGTGATAAGTTCGGCACCATTTTCTTTGGAACTGGAAAAGGTATGTTCGATTGCTCACCGGCTCGCCCTCGCTGGCATTTTTCTTCCGCTGCACTTATGGACAGCACGTTACGCACCTCTCGGATCGATCTTCCCCGTGAGGATCGCATGAGCCATTCCTGGGACCACATCGAGGCACGAAGTGCGGTGACTGGAGGAAACACAGTGAGCCAGCGGTGCTGGTCCTGGCATCTCATTTTCTAACAAGGAAGCACAGTGAGCCAAATGTGTGTAGACCTCAGCTCTCAATGCATCCAAAACCAGGCTGGGTACTCTGTTGCTTGTTCGAGGGTAAAACCACCACCAGTGCGGCTTCAAAGTGCTCGAGGTCCTGCGAGCATCCGCGAGTAGCAGCTCAGTCATGCTTGAGTCGCAGCTGCTTCAGTTTACAGAACTGTTTTCCATTCCAAGAGCTTCAATCATTTACCATCGCAAAATCCATCACATGGGTGGTATGCAAGGAACAGGTTTCTTCAACTCAAAACACGGTGACATCCTTCGACATCAGCCCGCCAAGGGGCTCGCTCCTCTAGCCCCGCTCTGCGAGGCTCGTCGACACCAACCGCCTCCAAAGCTCCTCTCACAAACCTCAACACCAATGGCCGGTCATGCAGTTCACCACGACCAACCAGGACTGGAAAAATTAAGTGGGGGACCTAACCCACCTGGAAGGCCAAGCTCTGTCTCTGTCTGTCTGTGTCTGTCTGTGTCAGTCTGTGTCAACCTGTGTTATATAGTCTGGGTCAATCTGTGTCAGTTTGTGTCAGTCTGTGTCAGTCTGCCTCAGTCTCTGTCAGTCTCTGACAGTCTCCCTCAATCAGTCAGTCAGTCAGTCAGTCAGTCAGTCAGTCTGTCCATCGGTCGGTCGGTCGGTCGGTCTCTGTCTGTCTGGCTGAACACCTTGAACTCACAGGTCGCCGTTTGGTGTTCGTTGTTCTTTTACGGAGTTGCAGGAAACGCAGGGCACAGTGGAGACTGCACCCAACGAAGCTGTCCACTTGTGCTCGAAGCAGGGCCTGATCAGCTCTGTGTACCTGCGATGTTTTGCCTGGGCCCCCGGTTGCACTCAGAACAAGATTCTGGCTTTTGCAGCGGTTCACTATCGGCAGTCACGCACTTTCTTGGACGTTGTGATCGATTCAGCGCTAAAAGAAGAGTATCTGTCCCAATCCCTGTACGCCTTGAACGATTGGCCTGAAATCTGAAAACCACCTGGGTTGTAGAGGATCGTCGATTGCATGTGGATCTGGCACTCTGATGTTTTTTTCGCATTACATCATTACATACTACCTGCTTTCCCGAGGCAACTTTTTCACTTAGGCTACTCCAGGGCTTGGGACGATCAGTTCAGTAGGCATTTTCCGAGTGTGTGCTGGCTGGGGGGGTCTGGACAAACTGTTTCTGGAGAGTTGGCGAGTGTGTCGAATCTGAGGCGAATCCTGTTTGCACAAGGAAAAAAAGCAAAACTGCCAAAAGTTTTGAGTGGATAATGGGCAATAATGGGCACTCTTCTCAATAGGCACCCCTTGAGAACTCCTGGTGTTCTCTTATGCTTCTAACCTCGAACTTTTGCTGGTCAGCCAAGGACTAAGTCCTGAGCTCTGCATCCGGCGCCGGAATCATCCGCTCCAGCCTGATTCATTCCCATCTGAAGGCACGCATCAAGCAATCGAGCAAGTGTTTTGCGGTTCTTTTCTGGGCTCATAGCGGCCCATGTGGCAAATGATTGTGCAGGCTTGCCGCTGTTTGCAGTAACACTGCCTGGCATGGGTGCAAAAACTCTCACAAGAAGTGAAATTTTAAAAAATATCCTACGAGTACGGACCTAAAATCTCTCTCACAACTTGTGGAACGTCCAGTCCTCCGAAATGTTTCTGTCCGAACGTCCAGTGGACCCCCTGCAGATGCGGTCCTCGGGCGCACGTGTGGCGGTCACGCTTTTGAGTTGGCAGAATCGATCCAAAGAAAAAACGAGGCGAGCGCATAGCATTCATGCCAAGCACCTGGGTTTCGCAAGCAAGCAAGTCGCACCCGTGAGACACTCGTTGACAAAAGTCAGAAAATCCAGGGTGCGCAACGCTCAAAGTCCTCGCTGGAGAGCCAAATCTCCATTTCCTGCGAAGATTGTGTTTTATTCGTTTTGGATTTGATTGAAAGGTCCAAGAGGCTCCTCAATCAAGCTGCCAGAAAAGTCGTCATCCATGGCGTGTTAGAGTAGAGAAGGTCTGGGGCAGGACGTGCAGCAGGTTTCAAGAATTCGTCCGATTCTTCTCTTGACGTAGTGCAATGGCGTTAGACTGTGCGAGAGCACGCGTGCACTTTGACATGAAAGTGAGCCTTCGAGGATCATGCAGCGGTCTTCCCCGTGAACCAGCTGATAACGTGGAACCAAAAAGGTGGCATCTCTCTGGAAGAATCCAGCATCATTCCGAACTGATTGTGGTCGTGGACCTTCGCAACAGCAGACGCCCTGGCTTTGTTCGCAACTCACTCAAGGAGGCGCAAGGCTTCTCTCAGCGCCCTTAGTTCCGTCTATCAACAAAAAGCATCAAAAAACACGTGGAAGCAAACCAGTAAGTTGGAGCCAACATGCGCCAACTGACAACTGAGCCAAGATCGAGATCTCTTTCTCTCGGAGTGCTTGTCTCTCCTGCTTGGATTCCATTTCATGCCGCCCCATCTACCCATCTTGCACAGCAAACCGATCTTCCTCATAGCTTGGAGCTGTGTTCACGCAGATCGGCTTCAGCTCCTCGTAAAAGTCCCTTGCAGCCTCGGATTGCACGTCACGAATCGTGACGTGCAGACCGACCCGATCGCCACGAATGGGCCTGGAGCTCTCGTTTCGTGACTTCCAAGTCCTGCAAAAAGCTTCTGCAAAGGAAAGAGGACTTGCTTCGGCCCTCTTAGAGGCATTCAGATGGACTCAAGCCGACGGATCCAGCGTTCTTCATCCCCCCTCCTTCCGTGCTCGAACGATCTCTCCGCTCAGCTGATCCTTGCGAGAGTCCTGCAGCCCAGGCGGCAAAGCAGCAGACATGGCAGCAGCAAACGAGATTAGGTGACCTTAGCAGCCATCGTTCTGGTTTTTCCTTGTGCTCAATGTCCAGCTTCTTCACAGTGACATCCTGATGTCGAAGGACAATTCCCTCCAAGTTCGGAAGCTGCATGAAACCACTATCACTACAGCTGCAGCCACCAAATCTGCTCCTTCTTGCATTCAGTCCGGAACTCCTGGTACTTCTCCGCAGCTGTCTCCTTCAGTCGGACACGCGTTGGAGACCCTTCGACGAGCTGGAGATATAAGCTCTCACAAGGTGCCATGGGGCAAAAAGCACGAGCACAAAGAGTACATCAAATGAAAAAGAGCATGAAAACACCAAAAAAGCACCTAGCCTATTCCTTCAATGAGTGACTCATTGACTCATGCTTCCACGGGCTCCGCTCCCAAAGTTCCGGCGCCTCGGCCTCATGAGCGTCGGCCTCCATCTTTGTGAAGTCCGTGATGAGAACCTCGGAAGAGTCCGTGACTGAAAGCGACGAGGTTGCGACGGTCGAGTCTTCTGCTGAAGTCTCGGCCTCCGAATTTTTGGGGCGGAGCAACGTGTTGGGGCCATTGGTGTTTTTTTCTTCCTGTTCGTTCGTGTTGACGATTCAAAGGATGATTCGTAAGTGTCTGCTTTATTACGTCATTGGGGGAAATCCCACGGTGCGTTTTGTTCTAAACCTTGCAGGTTTGGAAGGACACCTAAGGTACCGCCAAGGTGCATCCAACATAGACAAAACTCCTCCATGTGAACTGCGCGATTGAGATGCCTTGATCAAAGAAGCAAGCTTGAACGCCTGTCGTGTGAAGAATATTTAAAGTTCATACGTCAAATCCTAGATGATCGAAAGACATCTCCATCTTGGGGGGGGATTTGATTCCATCAAGAGTCAACATGTCGAAAAAGAATTTCTCTGTGCAAAGCATATGCAAACATCAAAGTCAACATGTCTCGTTTTCGCTCCCAACACGACCACACCTGCTTGGCGTCCATCTCTGCAGAGATGTCGCTCGCATCTTGCAGGAGAGACACCTGGCCCACAGCGCCGCCAGACAGAACCGGTGAAGCGAACGTGCCATGCTGTGAAGCGGAACCAATGCATCCACACTGAGGTGTTCAATCGGAACCTTCGCGTTCGCGTAGACATTCTCCAGCACCTGCATCCAGTCCATCCGGTCCGACCGATGTGGAAGCGAGCGAAGCGAGGAGCGAGAAGCGATGACGAGAAGCGATAGGCTTTAAATTGAGTCATTGCTATATATTAGGTTGGAGGCCATTGCTTCTAGGATGGAGGCTATCACTATTAGGGTGGAGGCCATTGCTTTGAGGCGCAGCCCGAATCGACCCACCTCTTTGGCTCGCCCGACAGCAAGCTGTGCATTTTGCGCTTCCTTCACTGTTGCTTCATGCTGAACCTAGCACTCCAAAAGACGGGAAGCTCACGGCGGATCACGGTTCCCAAAATGATTGCGTCTCCATTTGGATATGTTTCTCTTTGTCCCTCCATCTTCCTGCTTTGTCCATCCATGTTCTTTCACCTGCCTTCTCTTCCTGGCGGAGTTGGGCTGCCTCTTGCAGCTCCTTCTGCACCGTCTCGAGGGATTCTTCCAGAGCCTTGCGATACGGCTCAAAAGTTCCACGATTCGACCCCCAAAACAAAAACCGTTCCGTTCACAGCGATGAGAGGAACATCGCATCCGCACCGAACCTTCATCTCGTATCGGATCGCGTGAATTTCAGCTTCATTCCGCTCCACCTGCCATGTGCGAGCAGCTCGCACGAGCTGCCAAGCATCACGGTCAGGGCACTCACGGTGCGTGCTGGGCACATGTTAGACTCAAACGACCAGTCAAAGGCGCAGAACAGACTTGGCTGATCAAGACACATGTCAGACTCACTGTAGTGCTCAGCTCTTCCACAAGAGCTGACTTCGTGTGGCGCGTGTGACTGAGTGATCTCAAATCAAGAGCTTCGTTGCATTCTTCTTCACAACGGTGCTGACTGTTGTTTGTTCTAGCCTTGAACTTACCAAGATAAACAATCGGAATGCTAAGGAATACGCTTGTTGATAGAGAGCTCTTTGTCACACATGGCCTGAACCATTCCATCCACAATCCACTTGCTGTTGGTTCAGAACGAAACTCACTTTGAAGTGAAGCCTGCTTTCTCACACACCAGCGACATCCAGCGACCTTCTTCCCAATCATGCTGTTGAGGTCTGACTGGAGCTTCGGCAACATGTCCTGCTTTGGAATCATGCGTTCACGTTCACGAAACAAAAACAAAAGTGCACATGTCCTGAATCAGGCGCATGATTTTTTCAATCGCATCTCCAGGACCTCCTTCTGCTGCTCGCTGAACCTGCTTGCCGTCTCTGCATGTCCGAACCATTTCCGGAGAACCGACATGTCTCCGTGCGACTCAGGATCACACCATCAAGGCTAGGCCGTGGTTCTGGATCTCGGCCGCACGCCGAGAGAGCAGCGCAAGGAGTCCTTCACTCACCTGCGGGCCCGGCGGACCGAGGGGGCCGCACCGGGGTGCTTTTTCACGACCGGTCGCGCAAGGCACGGCCGAAAGGGCGCCGCCTGAGTTCGACTCCTTAACTGGGCCAGTGATGTGGAAGATCCTCGGCAAGCTGCTACAGCTGAAGCAATACTCCAAGGCTGCCAGGTCGGCCGAGTTCGTTCTGATGACCAAGAAGTTGCACAGAAAAACTTCCAAGTGGACACTGCTGTTGCCATTTATTACCCACATGTTGATACACTGGTGATCTGGTGCTCGATACAGGAATATACTGGTGCTCTTCATGGTTGATCTGACACCACGTCTTGATGAAGCGCACGTCTTGTTTTTCTTGGTTCGTCGAACACACACCGAAGACGTTCGGTGAAGACCGTCCTCTGATCTGCAGCGCTGTCGTGTGACGCTGGTGAGCTCCGTTGACCTGGTGTACGCGCGGAGCGCGGAGCGGAGCTAGGTGCCACAAGTGTGGGAGGCCCCCGCGTTCAGCACAGAGAAAATAGAGAAAAGCCAGCATTGTTGTCTGAAAAGTCACCAGTTTATATATAATCAAAAACTATGCTTCAGGATCAACATCCTTCAACATCCGAGTCAAACCGCCTGAACACTTTGGCCTTAGGTCTTCCAGCAGAATCATGTGCAACGGTCCGCAGTTAAGGCATCTTTTCCTCTTCGCAATCAAGACGGTTCAGAAGCCTTCGCTGTTACAGCGCGCATTCGCGCCTGTGCCAAATCCCAAGACAGAGACATGCACGTTCGCCGACATCGCTGCCATCGACGTTCGACGTTCGCCCCCACAAACGGTGCCACTTGAAAAAGACCAGCCGCGCAGGACACAGACGTCTCTTTTGTTCGCCGAAAATCGCCGCTCGGAACGGAACCACACCTGGCGAACATACTCCCAAATCACAATGGATCCACTTACATGGACCTCAGAGCATGTGCTGCGGAGCCAGAGCAGAGGGGACAGCATGGCGCAGTAGCTCGTTCGCCACGCCAGAGGGGTTTCACCTGAGGCCGGGACGTTGAGGGATCGTAGTTGCCCTTGTTGAGGAATCTCCACGCATCCGTCGAGTAGAGGCAGCAAATCGGCATCGATACCCTCCTTCTCGGCACCTGCTGCATCGTTTGCGAAAGTGCTCCGAAACTCCAGCTGCAATGCAAATCTTGCCTAGCAATATCGCTGTGTGCTCGGAAAATTGCCACCTGAGCAAACCCAAATCCACTTCCTGTGTGCTCCACACTACTTTGCAACATGGAAAAAGAATACATAAACAAACAAAACTCTCTTCCACAGGTTTCATCAACTCTTCTTTCTGATTTTCCTGGATTTTCTGTCGGCCCAGACTGATCCAATGGCACACTGGTGTGCGTCTGCTCCACGCCCAGCAAGATGTATCCACTTCTTCGAAGCTCCAAGAGGTGCTCCTTCAACTGAGACTTCGGCACCTTAGCGGCTGGACAAACACCACTCAAGATGACTGAACACACCCCCACTGACACCCAACAATCTGGAGTTGAAAAAAGGTCCACATGATTCAATGTGTCTGTCATTTTTTGCATGTGTTTCAGCCCTCCTTATGGTTTTCACCGAAATTGATTGCCTTTTTCGGGTAAGGGATAAAAAAAAAAAAAAGAATCAAAAAAAAATATTCAACGGGGATC